TTAAATTCCGTATTCTCCGCGTCTTATTGTCAAACCCAGATCATTGCGTATTAATTTCTGTGTTCCGATATCATTGCGTATTTTCTATGTTACAATCCGTCTAATCCTTTTCTTTTCCTGTATTTTCTTTATAGGGCGGACTCTTGTACCTACTAATCCTTATCTTTTCTTTGTATTTACATACAGGGCGTACTCTTGTAATTACCTCGATCTTGTAGATATCCTGAATAAACCACGTTCCTATTATTATTACCGAAAAACACCTGTAAGACTTATTCCGAATCCCTTCCAAGCGACTGACTCTATTAAGCGAATTAAAATCTACCTTGCCTCCTTTCCTCCCGACGGCCCTGGAGCTGGGCATATTCGGCAACAGGAGGAACGGAGGATCCATCTATTCTAACCGACACACAGCACGTCAAAATACCGACCGCGAGAACGCTAGCTCCTCCAACCGTCAATCGGAACCGCGTGTCCGATTGAAAATAATTCCTGCCGGAATCCTGTCCGGAACCGGGAGGAGCTAGACCGAGATAATAACGTTCGTTACATGGATAATAAATGTTCTCCAGAATTCGTCTTTTCGTTCATTACCATTTCACTTAGAAAAAGATTAATGGTATTCCAATATTCCACAAGTCTTTCAATACATGTATGACGAGCAAGCCATCGTGTATCGGACAACTTTAGAATTTTTCGGTGTTTTTCCTGAAAACATTCACTAAAATCTTCAAAAATAGCAAATCGCTTGGGACTATTATTGATGTAAGTTGCTATTTTTTTTACAAATTCCTCGCAATAGTCTGGAATCTTTGCACATGCAGCATGTGCAACTAAGGCAGCGAAATGACATGGACATGAGAGTGTTAATAAATTTTTACACTTTTCTCCAAGCTTTGTTTTAAATGATGAATATTTACCTGTCGTCACGGACGCATTGTCGCATGATAGAGCAACAATATTTTGAAATGGAATTTGGAATGTCCACATATCATTTCTAAAAGCTTCAAATAATTTTTCCGCGCTACTATCTTTTGCATCAATATCAATTAATTTTACTAATTGCGAGCGAATGTCTAATGTTTCAGGATCAACATACCGAACAAGAAACGTCATCCATTTTTTATTAGAAATGTCTGAGGTTCGTCAATAAAAACACTGAATTTAGTGTTTTGAATATTTTCTACTACACGATTCGTTTCAACCGGACACAACACGTTTGCAATAATTTTTTGACATTTAGTCCGACTCATACTAATGCTTTGCAATATCTTGGAATCTTTTCCTATATGTTGAAAAAATTTCAGCATTTTTTCTGCAGTTTGATGCGAAATGCTATTTTCGGCGACGAACGCAGCGAATTGAATTTGTGCTATTTTCGATTGCTCATCAAACGGCAGAACTGCTTCATTTGTTACATTTGTACTTTCGTTACTTTCTTTTATACTTGCACTGTTTTGTGCAACAATTTTTAAATGTGTTGCGGATTCCGCATGATGATAAATATTCGATAAATGAGCTGATAAATATGTGCCACAAAAAGAACAAAAACATGATTTTTCATCATGTGATACTTCGCGTAACCATGGTTGAAATTGTTCTAATTCCAACCATTGTTGTCGAAATTTTCTCCTTGAAATTGTTGTACTTACATTTGCATCGTCATTATTATCGTCATTAGATAATACTAAAGGTTCTTTTATATTGTTTTTGTCACACAAAGAATCCGCATGTTTCGAAATGCGCGTGTTGCAAGAAAAGTTTTTATTACATATAATACAATGATACAAACTATCATTAGACGGAACTTTTCTTATCCAAGTCTTATACCGATTATCGTGAAGCCAAGCTTTTGAAAAGCTTCGCTTACATTTTTTCCAACGAATCGCACATTTCAAATTATGTAAATATATATTTATATGTATATATATTTTTTCCTATGCTTGATATATATATATTATACATATTTTTCCTATTCCTAGAGAAAGAGAGAGAGAGAGAGAGAGAG